AGAGATCGATTGGATGTTGGATGCCGATTCTTCCTGTCCTTGGATGCTGATCCTGAATAGAAGATAAGCGAAGCTCGTGAGGTCTATGGAACCGGTGTGGAACCAGCCTAAGACCCTCCGATGCTCAAGTAAGATTGTTTTTAAGAGCTCTTGCTGTTGACCATATAAAAGTATAAAAGTCAAGCTGAAAAGTCTTCCCCTGTACTGTGGTGGAGGGGTGTATTTATAGAGGGCATTTTGTATGCTCTTAGTACTTATTTCCGATGTGGGACTCGTGGGAGGGCCCTATGAGGTTGACACGAGTCCTTAGATATTTCGGGCGGGTGCTTCGAGGTTGATTGTGCAGAATCGGTAGGGGGTACCGATTGTAGACGAGATGAGCCTGCAGCAGCCGTTGGTAGCTTTCAGACAATGCCATCGGTAGCCGATGCCGATTGTTCGATGCCTTGGGTACTTGGGTGGGTTTAGATGATCCACGTGTCGTTGTATGAGTGGAGGGTCAGATATGGTACAAACAAGTACAAAAAACATCCTTCTTCTCGACAGGAATTCTGGTTTTTCTTGGAATCACAATTGACATGATACATTCATCCCTTGTCTCCACCCCTAGTGACAGAGGGGTGACATCCAAGAGTGTATAGCCTTGAAGCTTCCCAATTGAATACCTACCACTCAAGACGGTAGCTTGAACAGCGGCACCATATGCCACAGCCTCATCCGGATTAATGCCCTTGGAGCTCCTTCCCCACAAACACATCCTGCAATAGCTTTTGCACCTTGGGGATCCTAGAAGAGCCACCAGCGAGAACAACATCATGGATGCTGCTTCTGTCCAAATTAGCATCCTTCAAACACTTCTCCACAGGCTCCATGCACTTTTTGAAGAAATCCATGTTGAGTTGCTCGAATTTGGCACGGGTAATAGCTAAGCAGAAGTCAACACCCTGATCCAAACAATCAATGTCAATGTCAGTCTCAGATGTAAATGAAAGCCTCCTTTTCGCCTTCTCACATGCATTTTTTAACCTCCTAAGAGCCTTGGAGTTTCCACTAATGTCCACTTTATGCTTCTTCTTGAATTGCTCAACACAATAATTTACCATTCGGTGATCAAAGTCTTCACCTCCTAAATGAGTGTCCCCAGCAGTTGCCTTCACTTCAAACACACTATCAGCTATGGTAAGCAGTGAAACATCCAATGTACCACCACCCAAATCAAATATCATCACATTTCTCTTGCTGTACCAACCAGACTTCCTGTCAAGCCCATAAGCAATGGCTGCAGCAGTCGGCTCATTGATGATACGCATCACATTTAGGCCAGCAGTAGCACCTGCATTTTTCATAGCTTGTCGCTGTGAGCGATTAAAGTAAGCGGGGACTGTGATAACTGAATTTTTCACAGTTGAACCAAGGTAGGCCTCAGCAATCTCCCGCATTTTTACAAGAACCATAGATGAGATTTCTTCAGCATCAAATTGCTTCTCTATGCCTTTGTGAGTAACCACAATTGCTGGCTTATCAGCTGGACCTTTAATGACCTTGAATGTCCAATGCTTCATATCATTTTGGACACATTCATCACTGAACCTCCTTCCAATTAACCTTTTTGCATCTGCAAATTGACGACAAAATAGAAATACACAACCCGACAAGGAAATTAAACTAACAAGGAAACAGGCCATATGATAGAAATAAAAGCATAATGTTAAATGAAAAATGATGTGAAGTATTCCAATCCAAATTCTCTAACTTTCTCACCCTGCCACAGTGAAACTAATAACTAGTTGTAATGCCTAGAGATCACTGACTAGCTATATATGCCTCATTCATATTCACTAGTGCAGATGTTACACATAAACAATAGTGAATAAGTACACCTTCTATGCTGACTAAATCAGTCTAAATTTATAAAGCTCAAAGGTAATTGACCCTGACGGCTAACTATAATCAAGAATGATAGTATGTATATTTCATTTAAAGAATTATGGCATCTTATTAAGAATACAGACCATAAGCATTTGACTTGTTTTTGAAATTACAAGATTATACCTCGCAGGTATATATATATATATATATCAAGATGGTTTCTACACTAAGTTATATCTAATATTCTAAATTAGAAATTTATCAACAACATCAGAACTTTGACTAAACTACTTACTCACTCAGCATACTGTTATTAATTAAGTGCTAGAGGATAGAGAAAAAAAGAAAAGAAAAAAGAAGACAAATTAAAAACAAATGGAAGAAGCAGAGCATCAGGGAATTCAAAACTGATATATTATACATACATGTGCATATGTGGGAAAGTCATGAGCCTACCGAAGATAGTATTGGTGGGGTTTTTGATGACCTGATTGAAAGCAGCATCACCAATGAAGCGCTCAGTATCTGTGAAAGCAACATAAGAAGGAGTGGTCCTGTTGCCCTGATCATTCACTATAACTTCTACATGATCATGCTGCCACACCGCCACGCAAGAGTAGGTTGTCCCTAGGTCAATCCCAATTGCATGCCCCGCTTTATCTTCTCCCGCCATTGTCAGTTAAAAAAATAAGAGATATTTAGTCAAATACCCATTCTTAGCACTAAAACTATAAATAAACCCTACAGCATTTAATTTCTATAAACAAACCCAAAAAATGACAATTGGCCATATTGAATTTAATTTTGATTATTAAATTACTGTGATGTCCTATTGAGTATTTTGGGCTTGTTTATATGTTTTGGGGTTGGGTTTGTTTTGAGAAATCAATGGCAGTTTTGTAATTTAAAAGAAGTTAAAAGCTTTTTTGTTATGTTATAAATGGGTTTTGGGTGTGTTTCTAAAGTCCATTTCATATAGGGTATTTTTATAATTTGGGCTCCTATATTGGGTATGTTGGCGCTAAATCTTGAATAGATAGAGATGAGTGCAACTTACAGGTGGGATGGACGATCAAGAGATCGATTGGGTGTTGGATGCCGATTCTTCCTGTCCTTGGATGCTGATCCTGAATAGAAGATAAGCGAAGCTCGTGAGGTCTATGGAACCGGTGTGGAACCAGCCTAAGACCCTCCGATGCTCAAGTAAGATTGTTTTTTAAGAGCTCTTGCTGTTGACCATATAGAAGTATAAAAGTCAAGCTGAAAAGTCTTACCCCTGTATTGTAGTGGGAGGGGCATACTTATAGAGGGCATTTGGAGAAGAGAATATATGTCTGTGACTTCTGTAATATAGAGCGGTCTGAGTGGTGATAATAGATTAGAGAAAGACTTGTTGGGAAATGTAATCGGCCTTACAAAGAATTTATTTTGGTTCCTTATTCTATGTACCACTATTTCCAACATAATACAGTAAAATTACTTGGAAATCTGTTATATTTAGGTACCCAGAAATAAAAAAATAAAATAACCTACTAGTATTGGTCTTGGATGGGCTGCTTTTCAGAACCATACTTACGACTTTGTCATCAAGTATACGCTTTGTCCACACATCCGCACTTACCATACATGTCAACCAGAGCTGCCCAGTGACCACATCACTCTCCAGGCCACTTCTCCTCAGGTACCTATACACCCATATCCCATGAATCCATGATCAATTGCACCAAGATGAGCACAAGCTGCAAGGACACTGGCAATTGTTAGAACCGCATTTCAGGGAATTCCAAGTAATAATGTTTCACTCGTTCATCTTCCCAAACAGATTCAATCGCCATCAAGATTCCCACTTCTCAAATACCCCTTAATCATATCGAGTTCCACGAAACAACATCCCTTTCCAACATTTCATCAAACAAGGTATGTGCACTATTCAGAAACCCACATGCAGAGTACATACCAATCAAGGAATTTTGAACAAAAACATCATACTTAACGACTTGTGGATGGAAACTCCGGCCTGTGCCGCCATCAACCCTACTCGTGCATTCTTTTACAAGGAACGGAAAACTGAGATAATTAGGGGAAATGCCATGGCAGAGCATTTGCTTATACAGCAACAACCACCCAACCGAAGAAAGAGTTTCATCCGCAACACTGATTTTTGTACATGCATATGCTCTGATCATCTCACGTTATAGACGTAGGTTTTCTTTAAAGTCAGAATTTTTTTTATAAATAAATAAAAGACCTAGGCGGGCGCCTGGCGCCTAGGCGGGTTTAGGGTCGTTTTTTAATTTTTAATTTTTTTTTTTCAAACACTGTCTCAAGGACGTACTTTGGATCATTCTCTCTCAATTCCAAAAGCCTTGAAATAATGTTTCCTTTCTTTAACTGCCAGTCATCCACATTATATTTGTCCCACGCATGGTGTCGAGTTCAATACCGAGGAAAATCTTGACGATTGAATCTAAGGATGCTTTCACATAAACAAACCCTTTCTGGAAGCACCAAGATTAATATATTTTCAGAAGTAAAGAATTAATAACTTGACGCTGACGCGATTATTGAAACGTTGCAAACTTACTTAAATCTCTATTGCTTGGTCGCAGGTTGCAGCTTCAGAAATTATCTGAGCAAGTTTGACTGCATTGGTTTTGAAGACTGCACTACTGAAGTCTCTCATTACTTTGGTTGATAATTCATACTGTTTTTCTCCCCCATCTTTGCTAAAATCATGGATGAGATCTCTTCTGCGGCAAACTATTTTTCTTGACCCTGGTGGGTAACGGATATCAAGTTGTGGCCATTCTGAACACAATCGTCACTAAATCTTCTACCAATTAACCTCTTTGCATCTACAAATTTTTAAGGTCATCCGTGTCAAAATTAGGGCATAACCAATGCACAAAGAAAAACGAGGAGGAAAAAGATCATATGATCTATGAAAAAACACAAGTACAAAAACAGAATATGCACTATATGGTTATCTTCTATTTTACAAATTGCAAAATTCAATAGGTAGGTATGGTTACTTTTTTTGTTTTTTGACAATGGCGATATTATAAACTTCGGGGGATCGAATTAGGGTGCAATGGGCCAGACACAATGCCTTGGCCAAATGTTTTAACCCACATAATAATATCATTTTCTTTATTTTTGTTTTGATGCTCCTCGAAGTTGATTGTAGTTAAATAGATGGAAACTTGAACTAAACACAAGAAATTTATCATTGAATAAAGAATACCATAAAAATGTTAGCTCTATCTTGGTCAGATGTTGAAATCAAGATGGCTTATCTTATTATGATTTTTGGAGGATGAATTTTGTACTAGCGACTTTCTCTTATTTCAAAAATTGATATACACGAATTGAAAACCTTACCAAGAGACAATAACCTACACTTTTCATTCTCTGAATTTCCAAACATTGAACGAGAGATTGTTGCTATCGACTTCTAAAACAATAATATACTAAAGATAGCGGCTTATTACATAATTTTGGGTCACCACCTAATGTGACAATATTTCTTATTTGTTGTGAATAAATATGGTATGAAATGAGTATATACATGAAAGAAATGAAACACTGTCACATTAATTGGTGACCAAAAGTTGGTGTCTTTAATATTACTCTTTTTAAAATCCTTATCATAATTAATAGGTATGATCAATAAATTAAGCAAAGTGAGAAAGAAAAAAGAAAGGAAGAAAGAAAGAAGAAACTCATTGTATGCCGATTTAAACATGGTAGATCATAAAGGAATAAATAAAAAAGAAGGCAAAATGAGCCTTTGATTATAATGAGCTGCTGCAACTGTTCATATACACGTATGTTTGTAAGAAGATCTAATTAATCATCATCCCTAGCGAGTGCATATGAAAAGAGAACCGATAACATTGAAGAGAAGATGCAGCCAACGAGAACAAATCCCGATGATGAATTTGACAAACTCACAAATCTTTCAAGTAAAGGAAGTTTACTTGGTCCATGTTGTCGGGCAACGTCATCCACTAGTTGTCCGGTTGTCACAAATCCTGCAACAGCTGCTGTAACTAATAAATTTGACACAACCTGCCCAAATTGTTGAAACCCGTTGTTATATTCATAAGAAATCACATGTCACATGCTAGCTTAATTTCATACATATACAGCAACCAGATAGTTTCCTCCATGAATCAAAATTGATGAGCAAGTTGATCATAAAAAAACCCGGACGACGATGATGAGAAATTTGAAATGTAATCGCTTGTATACAATTATGTATCTATTTTTCTTACTATCGATGATAAGTAAATATAGGTAACTATAAATTATTGCAGGTACCTTCTCAGCATAGAAATCGAAAACGGCATTCCCTTCACTTCCTTTTTTGATGCGAATGACTGCACATACCGTTTGGTAAATTGAGTATGCAAGTCCCAAAAAAATTCCGACAGCCGCGTAACTGCAATTTAATTAAATAATTACAGGGGATGAGATTGCTTGCATTGCATGTCATCATAAAAATTGATTAACTTGACGTGCATGCATCATGCATGCACTGATTAATTAATTACCTGTATCCAACTCTGTCATAAAAATGAAGGGTTGGGCCCTGAAATTGTTGAGTGTTAGTGAGAAGGATGATGAGCGAGGCAAAGAGTAGAATGGCGGTCAGGACCCTCAACGCAAGAGTAGCAATCCGCGTCGTTGTGGGGGAAAGCATTGAGACTGCCATCTCTGCTTTGCTTTCTCAACATGACCCTTGAGATCTCGAACTCGACGTTTTCTTTCTTGGCCATGAATTAAACACAGGTTATTATAAGACCCTGAATGAATGAATGAATGGAAACATTCCTCTGTGTGTGTGTGTGTGTGTTTGTTCTTTTATTTAGGAAAATGATAACTTTAATTTGATCCCTAAATAGAACAAAGGGGGTTTTCTCCATCGAACATGTGTAACCTTGACTGAAGAAGAAAACATGTGTAACCCCAAATCTGATACTTTTCTTTGAAAATCTCACATAAAAACATCTACGAAGGGTTTTACTTTTGCGTTCAGTTTTCAAAATAGAGTCCAATGGCCCATATGTTTTGCTTTCAGCCTTATATCCGTAAAGAAGCCGAGTTGTAAGGGAAAATGTTTTGAACGGTGGATCCAAGTACTTCGCCATGTAGGCCCACCTCTTCTAAGTTTCTTATTACGTTGATTTTTTCTTTTCTTATACGAGCGATAATATAAAAAGGAAAAGTCACAATCCATCGCGAGGAATGAGATTTGAATTTGGATGTAAGGGGGTGGATTCACTGCTTGACCAATTGGCTTAACTCACGTCTGCATTCCAACGCATTTTCATCTTACACACAACATTGACACACTTAGTTTACACCCGCTGATGTGTCTATGTATCATTCGCTAAACAGAAAATGAGGAGAAAAGAAGAGCAAATGATACATTGACACATCAGTGGGTGTCACTAAGTGTGTCAATGTTGTGTGTCCAAATAGCATTACTCGTAACAAAAAGAGAATTCTTCACTATTGTCTTAATAATAATATTGGCATCAATGAATAATTACTTCTATGTTCAAATGGTTAGGATTAGAATACAATATTATTTATGAAGTAAACTTATTTATTTTATTTCAATTATCGAGACATATTTAAAAGGAAAATTAATTGTTTTCAATTATGCATGTATTGAAACTTAAAATTTTTTGCCATTGAATGAGTTTTTTTTTCTTTCCAAAATTAGGAAGGAGAGGGGAAAACTCACATACACGTAACACATGTATCATGGGGGTTTGAACCCATGACCACTTAAGACTTGGGTCAATCCAATAAACACCCAAGTACCATGGGGAAATTTTTTCGGGAGATTCACTATTATACCCAATATAGGAGCCCAAATTATTAATAAATAAAAAACCATATATAAAATGGACTTCAGAAACACACCCAAAACCCATTTACAACATAATAAAAAGGCTTTTAACTTCTTTTAAATTACAAAACTGTCATTGATTTCTTAAAACAAACATAACCCCAAAACCTCATAAAAAAAAAACCTAAAACACTCAATAGGGCATCAAAGTAATTTAATAATCAAAATTAAATTCAATAGGGCTAGCTATCATATTTTGGGTTTTTTTGGGGTTTGTTTATAGAAATTAAATGATGTTGAGTTTATTTATAGTTTTAGTGCTAAGAATGGGTATATGACTAAATATCTCCATTTTTTCATATCCTACTGAATGAGTTTAATTAATTTTTACTTTTACTCTAATGCAAAATATTTTGTCCAAAACTTTTCTTTGTGATAATTATGTTCAATATTGAACAATCATTTGTCCAATTCCAATATGGGCCGATCCGATCGTCTTTGATCCACATAATTCCTTACACAACTCGTAAAAATTCCAAAAGAGCAAAACAAACTACTTGAGAGAGAATCACACATCACAGAGGACGATTTAAACAAAAAAAAAAGGTAATTAAGAATTTGATTAATGAACAGCAAACTGATAGTTATGTCTCTGAAAATGATATATTCCTGGCGAGTGCATATGAAGAGAGGACCGATAATACAAAACTAAAGAAGAAACTAAGGAGGACAAGTCCATTTGCTGCATATGTCTTGTTCGTAAACGAGTTTATGTCTTCTCTATTCGCGCCATACTCTTCCCAACCTTTCACCAGCTCTGACGACCCAAGAAACCCTGCAACAGCTCCTGAAACTAATAATTTCGACAAAACCTGCACCATGCCCGAATTATTTTGAGTGATTGCTATTCATTCAAAAGAGGAGGAAATAACAAGAGGCGCATCAGAGCATCCAACTCGAAATCAATTGGCAACAGACAAAGACATTTAAGATAGATATTTTATATTCCACGTACGTACGTACCTCCTCACCGAAGAAATCCAAAATGACATTCCCTTCATTTCTTTTGGCTAAGCGGAGAATTGCACATACGATCTGGAAGATTGAATATGCAGCTCCAATAATAATCGTTGCAGCCGTATATCTGTTGAAATTACAAAATGCATGCATGCATGAGATTATAATTAAGTTGATATCCATAATCAAGGATATAAAGGTCATATATATATGTACTTATATATACCGGAATGGAACTCTGTGATAAAAGCGCATGATCCAAGTTTCCTTAACCTCTCCGCGTTCGTTGAGATCTTTTACTGGTTGAGATATGATGAGAAGGAGCACGAGGGACGCAAGCAGTGTGACGGCGGTCACGATCCTGATTACAAGAGTAATAATCCGCATGCTTGTGGAGGAAAGCAGTGATGCGTCCATCTTCGCTTTCCCACAGCACCGCTAGCGCCTCGGCCTCTGCCTGCCGGGTCCTGGCCTTTGGATAAGATTTGGGATAGAGACAGCTTTTTTTTTTTGTTGTTGGATAAAGCAAAAAAAAAGGACAGGTTAATTAGGACCCTGTATCTGCATTGCCCTTGTTTCTGTTTTTAGAGAAGTCATGAGTTTCATTTGTTGCCAAAATAGTGTATACAGAGATAGAGAAGAGCCAAGACTTTTACCCTTTTTTTAGAAAAAAGAAAGTTCTCCTTCATTTTTTTTTCCCCATCAAACGTCAAGATTTTTGGAGCTGCATTGTTTGATATTGGAAGATGAGGTATTTGAGCTACAAGTCCCTTGCTGGAATTGCAATATGCGATGCTTCTTGAGATGCATGAAATTGAAAATTGGTACTTCGAAATTATATATAATACAAAGAAATATCAAATTTCTTCCGCTTTTGTGTCTCTATTGAATTAAATTAATTGGAAACTTATTACACCATTAATATAGTCGTACTACATATAATAAAGACATATATAAAACCCTACCAAATCTTAACCCCTTCAAATTTTTCATGTGATGAAATGAACTCTTGGAGAAACAAACATCACTACTTTAGATCATGATTTACACATCGATGAAAGGGGGAGAAAAAGAAACTATAAAACTAAGGTGTTTAAGACACTGATGATCAATGGACAGCCAGCCGCTGATGATGCTGCAAAATCTAAAACTTCTTGGGGAGAGCATATGAAGAGAGGACTGATAGGATGAAAGTGCAGACGAAGGCAAGAAAGACAAGTCCATCCGCTGCATAAGACCTCTTGAAATATTTGTGATAGTAATCACTTACAGCTTCGCCCCACTGTTTCTGTAATTGTGCAGTCATAACAAATCCTGCAACAGATCCAGTAGCTAATAGAGTTGATATAACCTGCACAGATTAGTTTGACCTATTGTTAATCCATTCAAAAAAACACACTTAATCCATTCTAAATTATATATTAATTTATGCATGTGAGTCTGCGTATGCGCGCCCGTATTATATGTGTACCTTGTCACCAAAGAAATCAAGTAAGATGTTCCCATGATTTTCTCTTCTGAGGCGGACAACTGCAACTCCAGTTTGGAAGATTGAATATGCAATTCCAATAACAATTGAGGCAGCCATGTATCTGCAATGAATTACAACATCCAAAAAAACAGAGAATGTTGTCAATTGCTAAAAGTGAGTAATATTAAACTGAACTAGAAATCAATTACTAAAAGTGGGCAATTACCGGTAAGGCACAAAATCATAGAAGTGATATTTTTTATCCCTGTTGCCTGAGAGAACATTGGAGACGAGGATGGCGAGTGGCACAACCAGTAAAATGGTGGTGAGGACCCTCAGCCCAAGAATGACAAATCGGGAAGTTTTTTTAGGAAACACTGATACTTGTCTCTGTGATTCCATCTTTGCTCTCTAATTAAACACAATTAACTAGTAATTTATAATTATCTGCATTAATCTCTGCTGGTGCTGGCCTTTTATACACAGTTTAACTTGTTTCATTTGGCCAATGCCAAAAGTAAACAAATATAATTTTTCTTTCTTCGTTTTGTTTTTCAATTTCAACTCAGTTTCATATTGTTCCTACCGCCGGACAAAAGTAAATTGGCAGAAGAAAAGACAATTAAACAGCGAGAATTTTCCTGGATGGGGCTTGACTTTCTTGTGGGTTTGACTAACCCAAGTTTTGGCTATGCATGGCGGAGGTGGACCGGCTAGTATATTTATATTTTAAACCATATGAAGTTACAAATTTATGTAAAATATGACGTGGCGGCAGCCACTGATTGGGAGGTTATTGTATGATCCGTAACGTTTGCGTTGTGTGAATTTAGAAGTTGATGGCAATTGTAATTAATTTATGCAACTGTTTTGGCCTACGACAGCTTTTCAAAGTCATTTAACATTTGGAGATCACCTAAATTTTTTATTATTTGTTAATTAATGGGCTCACGCGGTTTCTGAATGGGGTACCTTTGGTTTTTGGCACCCAATTGGAACAAATTATATTGTTGTGGTTCACGATTAAACTATGCTATCATTGTTAAATTTCAGTAGGAAGGACTTACGGCCCAACATTGATATTGTTCCTAATTTAACCACTCACATATTTGGCAAGTATGAAATTTTATACAAAAGGCATTGATGCTATTAGAAGTGGATTCATAAATTATATAATGTATTGGATTTTATTAAGTTTCTAATATGATACTTCATATTCTTCAATAATCATATGGTAATATATACCATTTTTCTCAATAGAAGCCGAAAATTTATTGTTCGGCCCCCTCTCACAATATTCACACAGGGCCTTCCAGGTAACAATAAGACAACATGAATTCTATGTTTAATCAGAGCATATTATAAATTTTCGTGGAACACCAGTCCTATCAACTTGGGTCCAAAAGCCTATGGCGAAAATTCGAAAGGGGTTTCTTTTATAATTACTAACATGCAAGTTGATTAACAAGCCTAATTATCATATTCATATGGTTATTGAGTAAGGAAAGGGCGGCCAAAGGGAGGTCAAAATTTTGTAGCTAATATGAAGGTCTACATAAGGGGTTCATATATGACATCCTCATTATAGAATTTCGCCTTATTAACCTTGGGTGTGGGGTAGCCTTAAGACCCATGAATCCTCTTTGTACCGAATTGAAGATGAAAAGCATTGGAATATATAATCATACAGATCCTCGACACTTCCATTCATGGATGTCTTATTAGCAAAGGCACATTGGATTGGCGCAATAATATTACATTGATCAAACTAACATCAAATCAGACACCCCCGCTCCCCCCCAAGCTAACATCAGATCAGACCCAAAAAAAAAATATTGGTACATGCAAAGCTGAGGAGAGGAATCCATATTACAACGCTAAAACAAAACAATAAGAGGAAATGTAAACACAATTAAATCCCACAACCCCAAAAAAAAAAAAAAAGGAAAAGGAAAGGCATCTGCTTTTGGAAATAAATGAGTTTTGCTTTTGCGAGCAGCAATCAAACTCTCTTTGGGAGTGTATAGGAAGAGATGATGGATAACATGGCAGTGGTGCAAAATGCGAGGAGAAGGAGGCTAGCTGATGCATATGCCTTGTCATAAAATTCGCGAATGTCAATCAACTCAAATACAGGATCTGCATCTGTCAATCGCTTTGTGTCTACGGTTATGGCAAACCCTGCGCCAGTACCACTCGCTAAAAGGTATGATATCAACTGCATGCCCAAAGTGGTATAATTTGGTTAGGTTTACATCCTCCATAATATTTTCATCCAATTCATTAATGCATACAAATATAGCGATTAAATCTCTACTATGGCGGTGTGAGACTATTTATATAACTCTCACTTATATTAATTAGAGAGATAATACAAAAGGTGGTCGGTTAAGATGATACCACTCCATATATATAGGTCAGAGGAGAAGATGTATGCACCTTGTCACCAAAGAAGTCGAGTAGGAGAATGCCGTCCTGGCCACTTACGACATTATGGATTGACAATGCAAGTTGCAAGAGAGAATATGCAGTGCCAATGACGATTGTGGAAAGCATGTATCTACAATTAATATTGATTTCAAGGTTCAAGTATATTAATTAAAAACGAAATGCATGTTACAATAAATAATAAATAAAAAATTAAACAAATCATGTGATGATGATCATATTATTGGCTCATTAATTTCTTAATTACCGGTAGGCATAAATATCCTGAAATCTAAGTTTCTGCGGATAAACATCCACGGTGTTTGTGCAAAGCACTATTAGGGATATTAATAAGAGAAGGAAGGTAAAGATCCTCAATATTAGAGAAGCAAGCCGTAAAAATACAGATGAATAAGATGGTGGCGGTGGTGGCGGTGGTGGTGCAGCTTCTTCTATTGTTACAGCTCTTTCTGACATCTTCTTCTACCTTAGCTAGTCCTGCAGCAAGCGACACCAAGCTTAGCCTATACTGCAAAACGGATGCAAACTACTAGGGTTTTATATACAAACCATGCATAGCACTAATATCTAAGAAGCCATTAAATTAGAGATCCTGGATTTCGACAAAAACAAAAAACAAAAAGAAGGGATCCTGGATTGGCAGAAGAAAAGACAATTAAACAGCGAGAATTTTCCTGGATTGGCTTAACTTTCTTGTGGGGCTGACTTACCCAAGTTTTGGCTATATGCATGGTGAGGTGAACTGCCTAGTATATAATTTATAGTATATATTTATATTTATACAATATAAAGTTACTTATTTATGACAACTATGACATGGCGGCAACCACTGATTGGGGGGTTATTGTATGATCCGTAACGTTTGTCTTGTGGGAAAGTATAAACTATAATGAAATTAAGCTGGAAATAAGGAGCTTGTTCCCCTTAAGCAAGGTCTCGAGTTCGAGCCTTGTGAATGGAGCAGCCATCATTGAGAGAGCTTGCCCCCCGAATGGGGTCCGACCCAGCTCGAGGGATTAGTCCTCGCCTATGAGCGGGGAATACCTTGGATTCATCCAAAAAAAGCTGGAAAACCCCAGAAGTTGATGGCATTTTGAATTCATTTTCTGCACGAGTCTTTTGGCTTACGACAGCTTATCAGGATTCCGAGCCTCTGCATTTAGACTCTATGCATTTCACGCATTTCGTAAAATTTGAACCATTATAATAATCTAATGATTAAACAACATGACACATAAGCTAACTTTGATTTTTTTTTTTTTTTTTTATTTTTCTAACTTTAACTCATGCCTCTGTGTGTGTGACGTTTAGCCTTTCTTTTCCACTTTCCATCAGTTTTCTTTCCATTAAACATCAACCCCACCACAACAACAACAACACCTCATTCTACAGTGAGGGTCTTATTTAAGGTCATATCTCTTAACCGTTGAATCAAACTTACCAATTTGATCCAACGGTTAAGAGATAGGGTCTTGCTGACCTTTCTTGGCTTGGGCTTAGGCTTAGGTTTGGGCATAACTTGGCTGTGGACCAGCCTTAAGTCCCATGAATCCTCTTCAGTAGAGAATTGAAGATGAAAAGCATGGGAAGATATAATAATCATATAGATCCTTGACACTTTCATTCATGCATGGGTGTCTTATTAGCAAAGGCACATTGGATTGGCTCAATAATATTACAATGATCAAGCTAACATCAGATCAGACCCAAAAAAAAAATATTGGTACATGCAAAGCTGAGGAGAGGAATCCATATTACAACGCTAAAACAAAACAATAAGAGGAAATGTAAACACAATTAAATCCCACAACCCCAAAAAAAAAAAAAAAGGAAAAGGAAAGGCATCTGCTTTTGGAAATAAATGAGTTTTGCTTTTGCGAGCAGCAATCAAACTCTCTTTGGGAGTGTATAGGAAGAGATGATGGATAACATTGCAGTGGAGCAAAATGCGAGGAGAAGGAGGCTAGCTGATGCATATGCCTTGTCATAAAATTCCCCAATGTCAATCGACTCAAATCGAGGATCAGCGTCCGTCAATCGCTTTGTGTCTACAGTTGCGGCAAACCCTGCACCAGTACCAGTTGCTAGAAGGTTTGATATCAACTGCATGCCCAAAGTGGTAATTTGGTTAGGTTACATCCTCCATACTATTTTCATCCAATTCATTAATGCATACAATTATAGCGAGTAAGTCTCTAGTATATGCACTTATATTAATTAGAGAGATGATACAAAAAGGTGGTCGATCAAGATGATATATATATATATATATATAGATCAGAGGAAAAGATGTACGCACCTTGTCACCAAAGAAGTTGAGTAGGAGAATGCCATCCTGGCCACTTACGACATCTGGATTGACAATGCAAGTTGCAGGAGGGAATATGCAGTGCCAATGACGATTGTGGAAAGCATGTATCTGCAATTGATATTGATTTCTACGGTTCAAGTATATTAATTGACAAGGAAATGCATGTTATAATAAAAATAAATTAAACAAATCATGTGATGATGATTATTGGCTCATTAATTGCTTAATTACCGGTAGGCATAATGTCCTGAAATCTAAGTTTGCTCTGATTAATCTCAATGGTGTTGGTGCCAAGCACTATGAGGGATATCAATAAGAGAATGAAAGTAATGATCCTCAATATTAGAGAAGCAAGCCGTGAAGATACAGAGGAATAAAATGGTGGCGGCGGCGGCGGTGGTGGTGGTAGCGATTCAGCTGCTTCTGTTTCTGCCATCTTCTTCTGCCTTAGCTAGTCGTGCAGCCAGCCACACCAAGCTTAGCCTATACTGCAAAACGGATGCAAACTACTAGGGTTTTATACACAAACCATGCATAGCACTCATACCTACCAAGTACCAAGTCATTAATTTTTTAAGTAAGTACCAACAAAGAAAACAAACAAAAAAGGAAAGTTTACTTTGAAAAAAAAAAGTATGCTTGACCCGGAAGTGATGGCAAATTGGTAACTAAGCCATTAAAATAGAGTGCTGCTAAACGAATCCTAAAATTAACTGAGTACACCCTACTATAAAAGTGTATATTAAATTACTGATTTACCCTAATATAAAATGACCAAAAAGGATATATGGAATTGTGAAACAAATATAATTTTAATAAGTACACCCTACTAACCATATTCAACCCTAATCAAGAGATTACTTGGTGCCCATCTTTGTGATCCGCGAGTCAGAATGGCTTGGATGAAGCCTTCCTTCTTTCTTCTCATAACTATTTCTCTGCATATTGATTGGAGAGCTTCTTGATGTTTCTTGATGTGAGTAACAGGTTTCAATCTATTATGTACACTTTAGAATCCAATTAGTCTTTAATTTTGCATATAAGCTTGTATACATGGTGAAACTACGTGCTCCTGCGTGCTTCTGACCTCCACTCAAACTTGAGCCTCTTGGTCCTATGTTGGTTTTGTATCCATCTGGGAGATTTCTGATAAATTCATCTGCATTTGCAGTTCGTGCTGCATCCTCTACCATTTCCATGTTAATTTTTGCCAACAGATCCCTGTACCCAATATTTTCAGCAACTGTTCCTGAAAAAAGTGTCTAATACATACAAAGTTACCAACATAATATTATGATTTGGACAACAAATAAAATATTATAAAAGATTTATTAAAAATAAAGAAGAAAGAAACTGTATTTCGGTGACACATTTACCAGACAACTTTTAGAAGGGTGCTGAAAATCATATGAAAAGTCAAAGATTTATAAACACTATTAAAAAAATCAAGCTGAAAATCAACTATAAAATAATGCTACAAGTATTAGGGTGTAACAGGGGTATTTTTGGTAGTTCTATAGGGTGTACTTAGTTAATTTTACATTTTAATTAAAATATTAGGGTATACTTAGATCATAGGGTGTACTCAGTTAATTTTAGGGTTCGTTTAGCAGCACTCTTAAAATAAGAGATCCTTTGTTGGCTTGCATTGAGTTTTAATGCATTCATCATTTCTCCATCTGCTTGAGCATTATTAAGCTAGCTTTAGTTTAGTGGTGTTCTCTCAAAAAATCTCATTCATAAAAATATAAGAGCAAGATAAAGCTAGTGGCTTGTAAGATATTATTCTTGACTAGAATATCATGTTGATGCTTGCATGATATCTGTTGAATATGATTTGGCATTCTTATCAGAATTGATTACGTGTACTTCGTTGTCTGTTTAAGTATTTTAATATTGACCGTACAGAGCCAATGCCATCCGGGCCCTAGAGACTAGAAATTGAGTTGATTAAAAACATAAGGAAAATAGTTGTAATTGTAATACAAGTCCTCACTCTGCACTTGAGTTTGAATCTCTCTCCTTGTAGTTTAGATTAGTTTAAAGTAGATTATCGCTTGTACCAAAAACGAAACAAAAAAAAAGTTTCCATGGTTATTACAAAAGTTTGAGCATTAGGTAGACAAGATCTTCTCATTGGCGACACCCTTCCATATTTCCGTTAGGTTAAGTTAATTATTCTTAATGAGATATAGCTCAAGGCTTCAAGCCAATAATGTACTTCACCAACGCAGTCCAAGCTCTTTGACTGTTAGATCTTGTGTGCACCAGAAACTAACCCAATTGGTAAAGGCTAATGAGCAACTTTAAGATTAAAGTACTAAACATGTCACAATTTAGGACCCCCATGGTTTGCACAACTATGTAGTTAAAATTAAAATTAAAACTTTTTTTTTATTGAAATTTAGTTCTTGGTTACGCAAAGCCTTCATTTATGATTTGATGGTACGTACGTACATATTATGAAAATAAAGAGACGTTTTTCGGTTGGCAGTGTTGAGAATTAATGACTAACTCACTGCCCTTTTAAGATCTTGTTGTTGATGGACTTTGGACAAAGAACTCAATGATGGATGAGTCTTACACACACACACAGAAATTAACCAAGCACAAATGACACAAGTGTTTATAGAGGTTCAGCAAATTGCCTACATCCTCTTTGGTGATCACCTTGAGAAATTTCACTAATGAAGATAGGTTACAACTTTGGTTTACAAAGGAAACCCCCTTAGAACATTACCCTCACAATCTGTTTCTCTCACACCCTTGCTCAACACCTTGATACACTTAGAGAACTCTCTTGCTCTCCCCTTGGTTTTTCTG